GGGCAGACCAAGCCGCTAGGAGATAGCAGATGGGTGGATGCCGCCTAGAGGGATGAGACGTGCCTTGTTTTTACATCGCACGCAATGCGGAATGTAATGGTTGGCATGTTCTGGCTGGCTGGATGGATGTCGTGCAGAGGTTCTGATGGATGGATGGATGGATGGCGGTTTTGCTTTTATCTTAGCGCTTGGACGGTGCTATGCTGGTGTTTGTTTGCAAACCGAATGCGCTCCTGTCCTGTCGCTCACAGATATCTGAGGGGCGACAGGACAGGACAGGACATGCACCGAAAATGCACCCACCTTTTTTGGCTGGCTGGATGGCTGGATGGCTGACGATGGTGTTGCGTTGCTTTGCGTGTGTGGGTGGATGGCTGTCTTTGTAAATATCTCTCTCTGTCCCTTTCTCGCATTGCTGGTTTCTCACTGGGCGTGGTGATTGGCGGCCGGATTGATAGTGACCGGGGGAGGGAGGGAGGGAGGGAGGGGAGGGTTGGGCTGGGCTGGGTCGGATCTCTCTGCCGGTCCACCGACGGTAGAGGGCTCTGCCCTGCCCGCACTCTCAGCACACCACACACGACACACAGAGTGCTCGGAATTCGTGTGCGCCAGATACAGACACACGGACGGACTGGCAAGATAGTTTGTGGATTATGACCCCCCCTGCTTGGCTGGCTGGCTGCCTGCCTTCCTGCAATGTGCCTGTATATGTGTGTGTCGGTGTGTGTGTGGAGTGGCCGAGTGGACCGGACGCACTTCACGTGTAGCTGCCTGCAATCAATTCAAGGCAAGGATGACACGGGTGAAGCGAGCATTCAGTCGGTCGTGTGAGGAACTGAGTCCGTCTCAGCACACGCTCCGTCAGCAGCATGCATCTAGCGTTCACACCACACACGACACAAGAGCGCTATTAGTACTTTGGCGCCATAGTGGCGCAACGCAGCACACACACACACGCACACACATGCAACACAGAAAAACGCCCCCCACCCATCCCCCGCCACTCACGGCCGTATGCACAGCAGCCCGTCCCTCATATCTAGACAGACAGACCGACCGGCAGTGGACAAAGCCACACATCACATCGCATCACATCACACACACGTCGGGAGATATTCACACCCGTACACGCAGCAAAGAGACCAACATGCACTGCACACACACGCTGATCTGATCTGCACGCACTGTACATGGTCTATTTATTGCTCACTCGACTGACTAACTGAAATGCGCGGAGCGCGCTGCTAAGCTAACTCACTCGAGGACATCAAGCAGTCAGCAAGCAGTGTGGTCGGTCGGTGGGGCGAAAACTTGGCCAGCACCGGACCGACCGGGCTCAGCTCGCGCTGCGTCTCTCCTGCTCTCTCAGCTGTTCCTTCCACACCAGTGGATGAGTGAGGGGTCACACTCTGTCGGCATCATTGTCCGACGCGCCCCACTCCTTCATCTTAATCAGCTGCTTGGGGTACTGCCTGCACACACACACACGCACGCACGCACGCACTGTGTACGCCAAGTCAGTCCCGATTGCATATTCTTCTCCTGTCGCAGCTACTTGATCATAGAAAGCACCAGCTCAGGGTACTTAGCCTCATGTTTGTCCAGCGTGGACTCGATGAATGTCGCGTTGCCCGCCTTGTCGGCCATGCTCAGCTTCCCGTACATCTTTTCCAGCGCCCCCCTCATCAGCTGCTTGGCGGGGTCGCACGCCGCTTCCCCCGCCGCCGCAGCAGCAGCGCCCTCCATGAAGGCTGGCGGCGCCACCTGCGCCTCCAGGGAACACGCACTCGGCTCCGCGCACGTGCATGACTCCTTTTGTGCGGAGAGGAACGACACGCAGCCGAAGGCGGTCGTGCCGAAGACGAAGAGCTTCTGCTGGTTTGAGCACCGGGCCCTGTCGTCTTCGTTGGTGAGGCCGTCACACACCTTCTTCATGCAGGAGCTGAACTCGTCCTCGCAGGTCTCTCTGGCCATGCCGCATATCTCGTAGCACGCGTCGTGGAGATCGCAGCAAGGTTCAAATGCGAATTCTGAGTGAAAACCGACACACAGCACACCATGTGAGATCGGAGCTGTTTGTTTTCCTTTCTCTTTGGTGGTTTGTTTGTCTGCTGACCAGGGTCCACTCTGATGCCCATCGTTTCCGAGCCACTGAAGGAAGGCAAACACGGCGTACGTACGCAACGCGCTGCCTTTCTTCCCTCTATGTGACATTTCGTGTGCTTACCACCCGTTGGATACGTATTCGTAGTCCTGCAGCATCTTCGTCCCTGACGGGCACTCGAACTCGCAGAGCTGAGATCTTGCTGCCATCGCTGAGAGGGCCAGGGCGAGGAAAAGGTACTTCATCTTCCTCCGCCGGACTTGGAGAGAGAGTGGTATCACGTAATGCACCCTAGGCCTGAGAGAGAGCGGTTTCATGGAATGTCCTAAAGTTTGCGAGCTTCGGCAGCGGGCAACGGAGCTGGATGCTTTGATCGTTGCTGTTGTCAGGATTCCGAGTAAGGGGCACCCACTGCGTGGGCACCCCGGGCCGCGAATTGGGCGGGGGTCGAAAAAAGCGTGCGAAGCGGTGGTTCAATTAGCTTACAGAGACGAGCACAGCACGAGTGTTGGAGAAGCACACCGACGCATGCAACAATGGCGATAGCACGCAGGTACTCAGAGGGCTGCAGTAAGAACACAAGACACGCCCTTGTTGAAGACGTGCTTCGCCAAGTATACCAATGCATCGCTGGATGCAATTGGATGTGAACCTATTGATATCCAGCGATGATATCAATAGACATGTATCAATCTAGCGCGCCTGTTGAAGGGGCTATTGAAGACTGCCTTCGATGACT